GGTTCTGTGAATGTCACTTGTGCCTTAAGTTGCTGGTTATAGCATTTAGATTAAAATCAAAACCTGGATTCAACACAAGTGATTAAATAAAAGGGACTGTATCTAAAGCTCATTTGAGGATGACTAAAAAGAGCCTTAATCTTCTCACATCTAGTGAGCAGCACATTTTCCAGTCAAGTTGTTAAGTGTAAATCTTCAATTTTAGTGGAGAGGATATGAATAGTGACTGTATAGGTAAAGAAGTTGAAAGGCTTCTTTTAAATTTAACATTTAAAGATGTCAAATTTGTCATTAGTGTTCCCTCAGGTAATTTTGTCATTGATCACTTACCATTTTTAAAAGGATAAAATATCTTAGTGTTTGAAAAAATAGATTTTTTTTCATTATTTTGGCAATTTATTTGGGTAGAAAGGACTAAAGAAAAGTGCATGTCATTAATTTAGGTAAGCCAGGATATATTACCACCAGTCTTCCTGGTGATCATTCACACCTTCCTGTCAAAAACTTTCAAAAGAGGTGACCTCAGATATAAGAATTATTCAAGATACAAAGCAATCTCAGTCTGCAGTCAATTTCTACAGAGAAATTATTTAGTTTTGTTTTAAATGAACATTGTTTGATTGATTTTTTAGATAGACTTTCAGAATAAGGCATTTTCTCTCCATTCAACCCAAAGAAAAGTATTAACAAGACTAAGTTCTAAGCCTTCAGAATAGTCTTATTGATAGCAAATAGCAAGGACCACTTGTGCTTAATTAAATTCCTTTATCAATTCATGGCAGTGATAAAGAATACTTGTCACTAGAAATTTCTTAGGCAGAAAAACTGGCCACAGTTTCTGCTTGTGTTAAATTTACCCTGTTTCACCTTAATCGTACAACGCAGAATCTCTTATTCTGGAGGGCAAAAAACAAGTACCTAGTAGATGTAAAAGCTATGTATGTAGACTTTCTTCTTTTTCTCATCAAAGCATATGTTTTGCCATAAGATGTATTTCACTTTAACAGCCAATCAGTTTATCTTTTTTATTTTTCATTCCAATTTTTCAGACCTCAGCAATCACCCAGCGGATAAGTCCCTGTTCCACCTTGACTAGTAGCACTGCCTCTCCACCAGCCAGTAGCCCCTGCTCCACCCTCCCGCCAGTCAGTACAAATGCAACTGCGAAGGATTGCAGTTATGGGGCTGTTACTAGTCCAACCTCTACCCTCGAAAGCAGAGATAGCGGCATTATTGGTGAGTTGGTTTTTGTATTAATCATTTTGTGGGGTTTTTTTCTTTTAAAATAATTACACAAGCTTAAGGTTTTCAAAAATGTCTGCTTTTGAGTTGAGATGTATATATAATGTGTGTGTATATTTATATATACAGATGTATATATAATGTGTGTATACATATATATGTGTGTACATGATATATACATATATCTATATGTATACGTACAAGGTTTGTCTACTTCTTCCTATAGATTCACCTATCTGCCAACAAAAGTGGTTCAGAAAATGTTCATTCCTCACCGAACTAGCAAGAGTGTCATGGAGGTTCTCAGTTCTTCATATACATATTGCTTATTGTGTACTTATTAAGGGGAGTCAGTCAAATGGAAGTTAGTGAAGTTTTGGGAAAGGAGGATCTGAAGAAAGAAAATGTACAGAGAAGAAAACAGGAGTGAGCACAGAATCTTAGAGCATGTTCAAATTGAGCAGAAAATTAGAGGTGGGAGAATGAGCCAGTGGATTGGAGTAGTCAGACAAATAGAAGAATTGGGGCAGTGTAATGTTGCCAGAGTCAGAGAAGATAAAAGGTTCAGGGAAGGGAAAAGTCGAGAGGCTGGTCAACAAATGACAACAGCTAAAAAAGCCAGGCATAATGGGATCAGTTAAGGAATAAAGTATTTCTTCATTTGGCTTCCTTCTAAAGATTATCAAATCACACTATTTATTTAGATAGTATAGCAGATATTAATGCCTGGCAACTAAATATATCTCTACTATTTAAATGCAGATTAATGTGTGAATTTATTCCTTTAAAATAAGTACTGAGTAGATAAAAAAATATTTTTCCAGCAAAGTTGCAAGATACAAAATCAACATACAAGAACCAGTTGCATTTCTCCTACACGCTAACTATGAACAATTAAAAAAGAAAATTAGGAAAATAGTTCCATTACAGTAGCATCAAAAAGAATTTAAAGACTTGGGAATAAGTTTGGGGTGCCTGGGTGGCTCAGTCGGTTGAGTGTCCGGCTTCAGCTCAGGCCATGATCTCATGGTTTGTGAGTTTGAGCCCCGCGTTGGGCTCTATGCTGACAGCTCAGAGCCTGGAGCCTGCTTTCAGATTCTGTGTCTCCTTCTCTCTCTGCCCCTTCCCCACTTCCACTCTCTCTCTCTCTCTCTCTCAAAAGTAAATAAACATCAAGATTAAAAAAAAAAAAAAAAAAAACTTGGGAATAAGCTTAATCAACAAGGTAAAAGATTTATATACTAAACAGTACACTAAACAGAAAATAGTGAAAAGAAATTATAATAGATATAAGCAAATGAAAATATAATGTGTTCATAGACTAGAAGATTTAATATTGTTAAAGTGATAATCTATCTCAAGATTTCTACAGATTCATTGAAGATACCATCATAATTCCAACAAAGTTTTTTGCAGAAATAGAAACACCCATCCTAAAATTCATGCGGAATCTCAGAGGACCCTGAGTAGCCAAAGCAGTCTTGAAAATGGAGAACAAAGTTGGAGGACTCCATTTCTTGATTTCAGAATTTATTACAAAGCTTCTTAAAGTCAGGATTCATGTCCTACAGTTTTTATATATCCTCATGACTTACCATAATAATTTCTAATTTGTGATTTATTTATATGAGAAGTCTTTATGAAGATATAGTCATTAAGTAACTAAATATTTTAACAAAATAAAATAGAGAAATGCAGAAGAGTAGCCTCTTTTCTAACCTCTGAAATAGTTTGTGAAACATTGGAATTATCTTCTCCTTGTATATTTAGCAGGACCTGCCATTAAAATAATCTGGACCGGAGTACCTGGGTGGTTCAGTTAGTTAAGTGACCAACTCTTGGTTTTGACTCAGGTCATGATCTGGCAGTTAGTGAGTTGGAGCCCTGCTTCAGGCTCCACGCTGATGGTATGGAGCCTGCTTGGGGTCAGTCTCTCTCTCTCTCTTTCTCTCTCTCAAAATAAATAAATAAAAACCTAAAAAAATAATCTGGACCTGATGTTCATGCAGATTGTTTTAATTGCTACTCCACTGTATTTAATGCTATAGGACTTTCTAAGTTTTCTCTTTCTTCTTGAATCAGTTTTCCTTAGCTGTGTTTCTTTCTTTTTCACATTTATTGGTATAAAGTTGCCCACAATATTCACTACCCAGGAACCCAAGCTAAAAAGCTGAGAGGAGTCCTTGCCACTTCTCTGCCCCCACCCTAAATTTCTTATCCCTGAATTTTAGTTTCATCTTTCCTATTATGCCTTGGTAGTCCCCATTATCTTAGACTTAGAGTAATACAAATCTGACTGTTGTCTCTGCTTTTCGTCTTGTCCTTTCCAAGTTTGTCTTTCACACAACCACCAAAGTGAATTAACCAAAAACTAGTTACTCCTTTGGTTCTATTACCTCTGAGGTGAACTGTCTGAAAATCAAATTTGATCATATCACTCCGTTCACTGCCATTTACTTATAAAATAAAGCCTAGACCCTCCAAATCTGACCATGGCAAATTTCTTCAGGCTTCTCTAGCCTTGTGTATATTGTTCTGACAGCATTAGACTTTATTGTTACTTGACGATTCCAGTTTTTCCATGACCATTCTGCCTGTAGTCTCCTCTCTCTTACATTTGAATGACTCCTATGGACTTTTTAAGATTTGGCTAAGTATTCTGTCACTACCACTACCACCACTTCTCTTCAATTCTCCACTCCAACTATTATCCGATCCATATTAGTACTCCATATTCCCAGTAATACCTGAGCGTATACATATCATGACATTTAATGTGTGGTATTAGAATTACTTTTTGATTAAACTGTTAGTTTCTTGTTAGCAGAAACTTTGCCTTACTCATCTGTATCTGTAGAACCTCCAATAACTGGCATGTGGTAGCATAGTAGGTACTCAAGTAAATGTTTACAAATGAAAGGAGAGCTGAAGGGTAGAAGGAAAGAGGACAAAGGACAACCTGGCAGTTTGCATTATTTTTTTGGCATTGCTTAGAGTGACCATTGGGTATAAGATTAGGTATAAATTTATTAGGTTTTGAATAAATAATAGGGATTAGAATTCTCTGTTGACCAATTTTGTTCTCTTAAATTCTCTTTATGATTAATTTTAGCAAAATAAATTTTATAATCATTAGGCAAGCTTCTTCTTGGGTTCTTCTGTTGATATTATTAGAGTGTCTATCACTGCATATCATCTGTATTGCCATACATAAAAAATACCTTTAGAATTGTGTTCAGCCAAGCATAAGGGATGGTGCTAACAGATCAGACCAAATCTGTTCACAAGTAGTTACCTTTCAACGGGGGAAACCTAACATGTCAATGAATGTTCAGAATACTGTTCATATGTTCTGAAATTTTTAAATGGGATCCTGCTTTGACTTACAGCAGGAAGTGTTCCTCTATTTTTTCTTTCTGCTAAATTCTCGAAATTGCATTCCTTGTACTGTAAGTGCTTTTGTGGATAATAGATCTAACTTAAAGAATGATGATGAACTTCCATTCTTTAATGTGTATAAATACTGAAACACATTTGCTTGTAAAAGTATGAGAGAAGAATGAGAATAATATCTGGTCATAAAGTTACTTCAACTGTAGAATAGTTATCAAATTATATAAGCAGTTTATCTTGAGAAATGATTTGTTTCCCTTTAGGTGTTTTTAAAGGCAGTTTGAGTTGGAAGAAACTTGATTATGGCATAAACAATAATAGTCAAAGATACTGTTACTACCTTGGAAATCTCAAGACTTACCTACCTTAACTGTTAAATATGCTTTGTTTAAGTATTTCCCCCTCTGATTATCCAAGCATCCACTTTTCCAAATTACGTACTGCTTATATTATTTCAAACAAAAACTTCCAAGATGGTCTGTTGTTTGTGTTCTGTATTTAAATCCTGCCCTATCAGCAAAAAGCACAAAAGTTATTAAATGTATTAATTTATCCATTTTAAGTTCCTTTATAGGTCAGTTCAGTGTGATTCTTTTTGATTCACTACATTTTCCACTTAAAGCTATCAGAATTTTAGCCACTCATGTACCTGACTGTGTCACTGGTACAGCATGCCAAAATATGTAGAATCCTAGTTACAAGAATTGGAATACCAGAAATGCAGACCTCCTGATTTTTTAAGTATTCTAAATGTAAAAAGTTCTTCTCTAGGGTTCTAAAAGCTTTTAAGTAACCATGACTTATTTGATTCTATGTAGTTTGGATTCACCACAGACTAGGTTAATATCTACCACAGCTTGCATTCTCTGTTCCAATCATAGCTTCCCTCCACAAATTCACAACCCTTTTTAAATATGTGGTGAAATACCACCAACACAATTGTTGCGTATTTGTATGGTAATTTTATTTTTGACTCTCTTTTTTTGTTTCATTGATATGACTCTGGTAGTATCATTGTCTTATATATGTGCCCAGTTGATGATGCCACTAATGACGTATAATCTCCCATCAGGTACCTACATGCACACACGTGCACACACACATCTTAAAGCAAAAATTTGGATAATTATAACCTATGTGAGATAGATATCATTTTTCTCTCCTATTCCTTTTTCTTGTTAAGCTTTAATAATGGTCCTTTTTGGTATGGTTATATAGCAAAATGAATTTAAGCATGGATCCATTTTGTTTCTCCTTTTGTTTATCTGGAGGAGGTCATAGTTCTTTCCAGAATGGTATAATTCTCCAATTTCTTTTAATCAAATCTCAGAATTTTTTTAAGTCCTGCTTTTATTGCCAAATCTGGTCTTTTGTCCTATAGCCTTAAATCACTTAACACCTACAAAGATAGAGTGTCTATGACTGTGCCCATTGTTTATGATTATGTTTTCCTGATGTTTCACATTAGTAACTAAAAAGCAAAATCAGAAGCTCCTAATAAAAGTCGCTTGTTCCTTTAATAATATACAATCCAGGAGGATGTTGTATATTCTTTATTTGATTCAAACTATCACATTTTAAAAGTCATTCTTCCCAGAGGGGGAAGGGGCTAATGGGTTGGGCAAACTCAGTAAAAGAGGAGTGGGAGATACAGGCTTCCAGGTACAGAATGAGTAAGTTCCAGGTATGAAAGGCACAGCATAGAGAATATAGTCAGTGATACTGTACTAGCATTATATGGTGACAGACGGTAGCTACACTTGTGAGCATAGCATCACCTATAAAGATGTTGAATCACTATGCCGTACACCTGAAACTAATGTAATATTGCATGTCAACTATACTAAAAAAATAATAATAATAAATTTACCCACCTGGGTCATAGACTGAACATTAGATAATTTGAGTTATTTTTTTCATGTTTTCTCCAACCTGTTTTCAGAAATGTGTGGGTTTATTTTTACTACTGAGTTTTTCCATTTATTGCCCTAGTGACTCCATCATCCTTCCCACCTCTCTAACACTAAGTAAATTTTAGTAGCTATAATGTGGCATGTTTGTTAAAGAAGCCTGGACCCTGCTTATTCAATTGATCAAGGAGACCTAGCAAAGCATGTCTCTTGCATATTGACCTAACTAATATAATAATAACCAGCATTTATTGAGTACAATAAACCAAGCACCATTATTTAATCTTTATAATGATCTCATATGAAAATAAACATTTCACCGGATCATATAACTGAAAGGGTGCAGAAAACTTCACAAAGAGTGCTTACAAAAGCTTATAATAAAGATACAAAATAGCAGGTGAAAGAGAATGCAAACAAGCCCAGAGGCCCCTAGACATTTGCAAGTGCAGCTCTCCAAGTTCTTTCTTAAATAGAACGTGCTCTGTCTCCAGAGTATAAAGAACCAAGATTTGTACACGGAATCTTGGTTTCAGGAGAACTCCCCAAAAGTTTACAGTGAAGATTGTTATGCTGCTCTGGTCATCTAGCCAAGTCAGATTGTCTAACTAAGTCCTCCAGGTGTAAGTTGTCAACAAGCATCTAGTTCTGAGTGCTGCAGAAGAAGCTTAGAACTTTAAACAGCAAATTACAAATCATTAGTTATCCCAGTTGACCTTATCTTGGCTAAGAATCAGTACTAGACTTCCAGGCAACCCAAAGATAAGCATAGGGCTGGCCCAGTCTAGTTGTAAAATAACTCTGTCTTATATAATAGTGTAATAATCTTTCTTAGAATTGGAAAACCGAGATTCAAAAATAATTGGTCTCAGGTCACATAGATAGTAAGAGGCAAAGTTGAGATTGAAGTTCAGGTCTGTATGACTTCAAAACCCATGGTCCTGGGGCGCCTGGGTGGCTCATTTGGTTGAGTATCCAACTTCAGCTCAGGTCATGATCTCACGGTTCATGAGTTCGGGCCCCTCGTCAGGCTCTGCTGACAGCTAGCTCACAGCCTGGAGCCTGCTTCAGATTCTGTGTCTCCCTCTGTCTCTGACCCTCCCCTGCTCACGCTGTCTCTCTCTCTCTCAGAAATAAATTTAAAAAAAATAAAAAGCATGGTCCTGATTATTATAGAACAGTACACAGGTCTAAAAAAAATTCTGTCTCAGTACAGATGACCTAAAACTATTATATGGCATTAAAAATTTAGTCTCTGTCAACAAAAGTAGTGAATCAAGATAAAAATTAGTCCTGCTAGTTTAAAAGTATTATAGAAGACAAAAACTTTTTTATTTTGTATGTATATAATTATCTATATGTGAATTATTTAGTATAGCTGACACATAATGTTACTTTAATTTCAGGTGAATAATATAGTGATTCAACATTTGTATCCCTTATATTATTCTCACCACAATGTAGCTACCATCTGTCACCATACAACGCTATTACAATGTGATTGATTATATGCCCTATGCTCTGCCTTTCATACCCATGACTTATTTAGTCCATAACTGGAATCCTGTATCTCCATCTCCCCTTTTCCCATTTTGCCCATTCACTACTCCCCTTCCTTCTGGCAACCATCAGTTTGTTCTCTGTATTTATAGGTCTGATTCTGCTTTTTGTTTGCAAACCATTCCATTTTAAAACATGCAAAAGACATTGGATAGACATTTCCCCAAACAAGATATGTGAATGCCTAATAATCACAGAAAAAAATACTCAATATCATCAGTCATTAGAGAAGGGCAAATTAAAACCACAGTGGGACACAACTTCATACCTTCCAGAATGGCTGTTACAAAAAAAGGACCAAGTGTTGACAAAGATGTGGAAAAATGAGAACCTTCATGTATTACCCTTACGTATTTATGTTTATGAAGTAAATATAAACTACCATACAATCTAGCAATTCCACTCTTAGGAATGGAGCCAAGAGAAATGAAAACATGTCCAAAGAATGAAGCATTATTCATAATAGCCAAAAACTGGAAACAATCCAAATATCTATCAGCTGATAGATGGATATACAAAATCTGAAATGTCCATACAGTGGAATACTATTTCAGCAATAAAGAAGAAGAAATTATTAATAAATGCTACAGAATGAATTGACCTCAAACATAAAGATCACATATTGTATGATTCTGTTTATATGAAATCCCAGAAAAGGCAAATTTATAGACAGTACATTCAGGAGTTGCCTAGTATTGGGAGAACAACAGAAATTAACTGCAGACAGGCACAAAGGACCTTCTAGGGGTTATAGCAACATTCTAAAACTGAATTGTAGTGGTGGTTGCACTTATCTGTAAATTTACTAAAAATCATTAAACTGTACATTTACAGTGGGTATACTTTATGGTATGTAAATGATACCTCAGTAAAACTGGTACAAATATATAGCATTAATTTGATTCACAATAAGCCTGTTTATAAGCCTTTGATTCCTTCCTCCTCACACTATCTCTTTCTGGCCTATGTGACAATATAAACAGACATGTCACATACACAGTTTTTCATATTGAGGTAGTGATTTTTTCTTTATCAAAGAGGGAAAATGGCGAAGGTCTTGGAAAAATCTCTTTAGTTACTTGAGACTTAATACTTTCTCCCTATCCTTTATTCACTTGCTCATTATTAGAAATAAATGATAGGTTAGGGAAACAAATATGCATAGTTTTCATTGAGGAGCCATGTCTTCCATTCTAGCTCCATTCATAAAAACTTTGCACATAGGAGTGCTTAATTCATCTAAGCCAGTTTAAACTTTTAGTAGCCATGTGCACAAAAATATTCCTGCATTCTCTGATGCTTCAGTCACCTTGATGACCTTAAATCATAAAAAGTCTCACCATAGAGGAATGGCTGAGTAAAATAGGATGCATCCAAAAGTTGAATAATAGGCAGACATTAGCCTGATGTTATTAAAAATAGATTTAATTTTTGACTCTACTTTTTTGTGTATGTCCTCTTTTGCCTAGAACTGTCCTTGTTCTAGGATTAAGGATTTAAGACCTATCTTGTTCCCATGTTCTATACATAATAGTTGTTCCGAAAAAATTTATTGGATAGGTAGGTGAATGGAATTAACCAGAAGTCACCAAGTTCATGAAAAGCATCAATGAAGCAAAAATGCACAGAATTCCTAAATGGGAACAATTACCCAGAGAATTTTACTTCCAGTATTTTGTGTAAGTTATCTATTTTTACTTTCTGTGTCCCAATAATTCTAGACTATTATGCATTCTAGACCGTTTATTCGTCCTTTCGACAAATATTTATTGAGCATATACTGTGTGCCAGGGACTAGATACATTTCTATCTAGTGAAAAAAGGCAAGAAATACCTGGGGCTTCATAGTTGAAAATTAGGTGAACTGTGTAATAGGTTATGCAAATAGTACAGTAGTCATGCAGAACAACCATCAGGTTTTCTTCCCAGGCTGGGAAAACTAGATGCTTTGTTTATCTTTGCTTTTAAATACTTTGACCATAAAACCCCTCCCTTGTTATAAAATTTAGCATTTAAATAATAAAGTAGGGTCCATAGTGCTACAAGTTAACTCAAAGTTTCTCAAATCTTTCCACCATCAATGAGGACTTCCATAATTTTTGTTGATAGATCTCAACAAAACATTTGAAAAAATGTTCAGCATCCCTCTATTCATTATTTAGTAGTTTCTCATTTTTAATTTATCAAACATGTATCTCTGCAAAAGCTTCTGCTTAAATGAGAATAACTACTGTTGTCATCCTTGATAGAATTCTAGCTGTGGTTACAGAAGTTTGATGGTGTAACTAGTGACCAGTAAGCATATTATTTATAAATTATTTGAAATACTGAAAATAATGAACCCCATTGCTACTTTCTCACACCTGTAAACCACGTGCTCATGGTTTATCTGGAGAAAAGGGGTACATAGCAGGCTGGGACCACACAGATACAGGTATATCTTAGCCAAATCTGGGACTTAATAATAAGAACATCTTCTGGACACGCACACAACACACACATACACACACACACACACACACACACACACACACACACACCATAAAAGGTAAGGGATTAAATAACAGGCATTTTACATGTAGACAAGCCCTCTGGGAAACAAGAGTTTCCATTCTCTAGCTTTCGGCATACTGACCTTAGCAGCTAGTGAACTCTGAGCTTCTTGCAAAGAATTACAGAGACAGCTGAATCACTGTATCTTTACACCAAAAGAAATTATATTTCAGTCAAATTTTACTGAAAAAAAAAGTTTAAATATATTTTAAATTAATGAGACAATTTTCAGAAATTAGGATAAGAAGCATACATCCATTTTTAAAAAACACACACAGGTACATACATAATATAAATATGCTATCACTGAACACACTTAGAAATTACAATTATAAAATAATGCTGTGGAATCCATAATAATCTCATTAGGGAAGGTGCAATATTATGTTTGGTGGCAAAAAGGTTAGAACTATTGGGCTATTTATGACTGAAAGTCTGAATATATGAAATTAATTTTTAATTAAAGTGAGTAGTTTATATACCAAAATAATGTAGTAATTTAACATGACTTGAACATTGGCTTTTTAAAAAACTGTCTATTTATTTTGAGAAAGACGGAGAGTGAGTGCAGAGGAGGGCCAGAGAGAGAGAAGGGAGAGAATCCCAATCAGGCTTTGTGCTGTTAGCACAGAGCCCTACACAGGGGCTCAAACCCATGGAACTGCGATATCATGACCAAAATCACAAGCTGGATTCTTAACCAGTTGAGCTAACCAGGCACCCCAGTTGGATTAGCTTTAAGAATATGTGACCCATAGTTTCCAACATTTTCATCAATGAGACTTCCCTAGAACAGATTCCTCAGAGCCTGAGACAAAAGGTTATGTGCTAACACCGTATTAAGGGAGTATAAACCAAGGAAACGAGTGAATGAAAGGGGAGTAAGGCCAAAAAGAAGACACAAATATAAGAAAAGGAATTACAGAGCTGGGAGAGGTGATTGCTTGATTCTACTGAAATCTTCAGAGACCGTACAGTTCCAAACTGGGGAAAGGGAAATTACAAGGGGATATTGCTGCTAGTTCCTGTCTCACATTGGTGTGTTAGCCCTACTAGGGCATTGTTTCCTCCACTCTTCTATTGCACAAATCCAGTAGCCCTACTCCATCTCATGTCTCAGCAGCAACCAGGAAGTTTAGGGACAGAGGAGAGATTGTATACAGCATTACACAAGATAATGATTGACTTGTGCTTATGATTATCACAAAGGACTAGCAATAGGCACTATGGCCAACCCTTTAGTCTGAGGCAGGATGTTAAAAACAGGGACCCAGCTCCAACCCATGGGAATAGTCTACACAATTGCTAGAGCCAGGGTAGCTAGACAGTAGGCAGGTGAGTATATCTAGATTGGCAAATCCAGTATAGTTCAACCCTTATACCACATACATCCAGTAATACTCTCTTTTGGCATCTGTTCTCACCCGGGAACACGATACTGCTATATTCTGAATTATTTCCTGAGAGGAGAGATCCAAATCCAATTCTTCAAGGAGATGACCAGTTGCAGTCTCCCAAAAAGACTTAGGAAGGGTTAGTAAATGAAGATTAAGTCCCTGCTGCTCCTGCTGGTCCTGGAGCCCATAGTGTCTGCTCCTTATCGCCCTCCTTCACCCATTTCAGAACAAAGAATATCAAAATAGATTTCAGAACAAACAGTGATTACCTTTCAAGGAAGGTCATTTCATAATGATAAATGGATCATTTCATCAAGAGGAAATAACAGTCCTCAATGTTTATGCACCACATAACAAAGCTTCAAAGTGGCAGAAATCTGCAAATGTAGAGATTTTAACTCATCTCTCAGTGGTTGAAAGAATAAGTAGGAAATCCATTAGCATGTAGATGACTTTAACCAGTTCCATTAACCAACCTGACTTAATTATTTTTTATATGACAGTCCACTTAACAGTAGCAGAGTTCAGATTCTTTTTAGGTATACACAGAAGATTCACCAAGAAGCCATATTCTGGTTCATAAAACAAGTCTCAGTAAATTTAAGTGGATCCAAACCATTATAGTATTCTCTGACCACAATGTGTTTGAACTGGAAACCAATAATAGAAAAATATCAGGAGCTCTTGGGTGGCTCAGTCAGTTGCGTCTCCCACTCTTGGTTTAGCTTGGGTCATGATCTCACAGTTCATGGGATCAAGCCCTTCATCAGGCTCCATGCTATCAGTACAGATACTCTCTTTCCTCTCTCTCTCTCCTCTCTCTCTGCCTCTTCACCCCACTCATCTGTACTCTCTCTCTCTCAAAATAAGTGGATAAACATTTAAAAGAAAGAAAGGGAGGGATGGAGGGAGGAAGAAAGAAAGAAGGGAGGGAGGGAGGGAGGAAGGAAGGAAAGAAGGAAGGGAAGGGAGGGAGGGAGGGAGGGAGGGAGGAAGGAAGGAAGGAAGGAAGGAAGGAAGGAAGGAAGGAAGGAAGGAAGGAAGGAAGGAGAGAGAGAGAGAAAGAGAGAAAAAAAGAAAGAAAGAAAGAAAGAGGGCACCTGAGTGGCTTAGTTGGTTAAGTGTCCAACTCCAGCTCAGGTCATGATCTCCCAATTCATGGATTTGAGCCCCGCATCCAGCTCAGTGCACACAGCCCAGAGCCTGGAGCCTGCTTCAGATTCTGTGTCTCCCTGTCTCTGCCCCTTCCCCTCTCATGCTCTGTCTCTGTGCCTCAAAAATAAAAAAACATTAAAAAATTAAAAAAAAAATTTTTTTTTAAATCACATTGGAACTTAGAAATATTTTTAAATGAGCAATAGTGAAAGCAAAACCTCAGAATTTTTGGAATGCAGCTAAAGAAGTGCCTAGAAGGAAGTTTATAGCATTAGATGCTTATTTTAGAATAGAGAAATTTATTTAATTAGCGAACTAAACTTCTTAAAGAAACAAAAAAGAAATTCAAATCAAAGTAAACAGAGTAGGAAATAATAAAGAACAGAAATCAATAAAATTAGAATAGAGAAAATCAATGAAAGCTGGTTCTTTGAGAGAATCACATTGATAAGCCCCTAGCCATATTAACCAGGAAAAAAAGATACAAATTGCCAAAATCAAGAATGAGAGAGAGACATCATTATAGACCCATAGACATTAAAAGGATAAGGGAATGTCATGAACAACTTTATGCCAGTAAATTTGACAGTGTAGATGACATGGACAAATTCCTTGAAGTAACAAATGACCAAAGCTCATTTGAGAAGAAAGATATAACTTGAATAGCTTCATAGCTGTTAAATATAAATTGAATTTGTCATTTAACACTTTCCCATAAGGGTAACTCTTAGTCCAGATACCCTGACAGGTAAATTCTATCAAATATTTAAGGAAGAATTATACCATTTCTACACAAACTGCTCCAAGAAGTTGAAGTGAAAGGAACACTTTATGAGGCCAATGTTACCTCAGGACCAAACCACACAAAGACATTATGTAAAAAGTCAACTACAGACCAGCATCTCTCATGAACATAGATATGAAAGTCCTTAACAAAATTCTAACAAATTGAGTCCAGCATTATATATAAAAGATAACAGGGACAATATATTAAAAACGATTTGTCATGACCAATTAGGGGTAGGGAGCATTGTCACCTTTGAGAAGCCTGACAGTGACTGTCCTCTCTGATGGAGTTGGCACGGAGATATTGCCATGAACTGGGCTCTCTTTTTTTTTTTTTTTAATAGTTTATTGTCAAATTAGTTTCCACATAACACCCAGTGCTCATCCCCACAAGTGCCCTCCTCCATGCCCCCCCTCCTCTCCCCCACATCCATCAGTCCTCAGTTTTTGTCAGCATTCAAGAGTCTCTCATGGTTTGCCTCTCTCCCTTTCCCCCACCATTTCCCCCCTTCTTCTCCCCCTTGTTCCTCAGTTAAGTTCCTCCTAATCTCCTATACGTGGGCTCTCTTGGTGTCAGTGATGATATGGAAGCCACTTGGCAGCACTTAATTATCAGATGTATTATTGTTATAAGCAAAAAGGCTGGAAGGCAACCATTTGTTAGCTCATCTTCTACCTTTGTTACTATGAAGTCCAGAACTCCATTTAAATTTTCACAGAGAAAACGTCACTAAGAGGGATCATGGAAATTACCTAAAAAACTTGGATCTCTTCTTTTAATAATACGTACATTGAAGATGTAAGAAGAGAATATGAACTAATACTAAAAATTCTCCAGGGATGAGGCACCTGGGTGGCTCAGTTGGTTGAGCATTCCGCTCTTGTTTTCGGCTCACGTCATGATCTTATGGTTTGTGAGATGGAGTCCCGCCTTGTGCTGACAGCATGGAGACTGCTTGGGATTCTGTCTCCTTCTCTACCCCTCCTCTGCTCTCTCTCTCTCTCTCAAAAATAAATGAACATTTTAAAAAAATAAATAAAATATAAAAAATAAATTCTCCTGGGATGACCTCTTTTATAATTATTGCTAAGATTTTTATATTCTAAATTTTATTGTTCTTAACCTTTGCATTTCAAGGCTTGATGAAAATTTTTTTGTTTATAACTCCTGTTCATAATTAATGGTAAGACTAGATAAAATTCTAGATTTTTTTTGTTTGATTTCATTAAGGGACATCTAGGGTTAGTGCTACAGAGGGTAGCTGTACAAGAAGGCCCTGTATTGTTTACTTATTTGGACAGATTATTTCTCCTATATTAGCATTTACTTAGGACCGTTTATTTTTTTCTAACTCATTATTACATATGAAAGGAAATAAATTTAAATGAGGGAAAATACGGGATAAAAAGAGTATAAAGGTCTTTTCGAGAACTGTGGGGCTCTCCAGCAATCCATGAAAGTTCTTTAAATTCCCTTTTTGATGAAATTCCAAAATTTTTCACATTCATAGGTCCTAGTGTAGATCTTTTAGCATTGATATATGAATTTGTTTAGTTCCATTCAGAGAGAGCTGTTAAAGTAAATACATGACAGAGATGTGAGTGAGAATATGTAAGAGATCGTTATATTTTGGTTTCAATCATTTAAACTTCGTGGTGGAGATGAAATCATCAGCAACATCTTAAAAATAATATTACTTCTCTTATTATCTAGTAATGAATTTGGATAGAAATGAACAGATTAATCTCTAGGTTTATAGGCATTGTTTATTTTAACTTGTTTTACTCTCTTTTTTAGCTACGTTGACAAGCTATTCTGAAAACGTGGAACG